AAAACAGACATGTCTAACTGGTCACAATGAAGGACTAATGATCCAATTACCAACACGCTAATACCAACGCCTATAGATTTAATATGACTGATATAGCAACATACTATTGTGCAATTGGCTTTACAGTGATGGACAATTAGTAATTAAGTGAAAGGGAACATCATTTGCACAATCATGATTCATTCCAGAGTTATACAAAAGTAATGTCTATACCTTATCTTGTTATTATTGCCATTGCAGTGCGCATGCTTGTTGTGAAACGCATCCCACCACAGATCCTGCACAGACAGAGTGACGAAAGCCCGGTGTTTCAGACTAGGCCTCATGGTACAGACCGTTTTAATCACTTGTGGTGGTGCCAATTTACTGCAGGGGTGGTGGGGGGGGTGAGGGGGGGGGGGGGTCCAAGCAGCAGAGAAGCAGCTGTTTGCCAAAGAAACCTACGGAAGACTTCTAGTCTCATAAGTCCATCCAGGCACTGCACACACACACCTAAATAGGACGCTTTTGTTTATTCTTTTGTCTTTTTCATCACTGCGGCAAAGATCCTGCTTCACATAGCTCTGAAAACCACAGCTATTAATGAGGAACACGTAATATCTTCAGAGAAATAGTGAAAGTGTATGATGCAGGAGAGAAATGGTACAATATTGATGTATGTAATTAATACAAAATGAATTTTGATGTTTTAACTGATTTTTCAGTAGCTCCATCTCCTAAATGTCTGCTTTCATTTTCAAGAAAAACTTAAAACTAGTGATTATGAGTTTGATGCATGGAACATTACTCAAAGGTGACATAGTTTCATTATTTCCCCCTCATTTTTCAAAGTTCCAGCGATGCATGAATGTTTGAGTATTCTCCAGTATGCATTCAAACCATAGACTGTGTATATTAACGAACATAGTCACGCCTATCTCCGCCGTTCTAACGAATGGGCCAAAAATTGGGTCGGCACTAGATCATATACGGAATCGGGACGAAACCGGAAGTAATGATCATACTTTTGAATTCGTTTTAGAGTCAGACTAATAAATCCTTAAGTGGTGACTGGTTCAGTTTTAGGTGTCTGATTAAGATGGTTAAGGTTAGGGTTAAGGGTGGGTTGGGGTTATTTTATGGGAATGGCTGGTTAAGTTTAGGCATGAATAGGTAGTTTGTTATATTTACTTCCGCTTCCGTCCAGATTCCGTATATGATCTAATGCTGACCCCAAAAATTGGGCTGTACTGGAGTGACTTTAAAAATTCACAGCGAGTAAACTAGACTGTATTTATTATTTATTATATGTATTTATTAAAGATTTTAAGTTTTAATACTGAGTTTTCATGACTTTGACTGTTGTTTTGATTTTCTAATGTTTGTGTTATTTTACGTCTTTGTAAAGCACTTTGGGTTTTATAACAAAACCACTTCAGGGAGGAGAGAGGGAGGAGAGAGGGGAAGGAGCAGAGGTCATTGCAGAGAACATTGTCTTGCAGTGCCTAAACCTCTCTTTAACATATGTTTTTATTGGAGATTATGACTTCTTTCCTTATTATCCGAAAGATAGAGATATAATACTTATTTTTATGCTAGAGTTAGATTTTATTTTATTTTATTTTAGTATAGAGTTATTACTCATGTATCTTGTGCTGTGTGCTCCTCATTCATACTGTTCTGTAACTGACATGTGGCAACAACAAAAAACAGAAGCCAAAATACAGACCTGCAAAAAATAGCAGATTTAACCAGAACCCAGAGTAGACAACACAAAAGTAGCGACAACACTTAACTGAAAGAGACATGACATTAACAATGACGGAATAACAGGACTAACCAGACACAGGTGATGAAGAGGGCGGGGCAAGTCATCACACAACAGGAAGTAGAACCAAGGAAGACACAGGGCAAACAAGTTACAAAATAAAACATTAAATAAATCCAAACCATGACATAACTTGTGATGCAACACTGAAATTTCCCCACTGTGGGAGGAATATATGATCTCTTAATCTTATTTATTGCATATTTTTCTATTATCCTGCCGGGTTGGTGCGAATGTGAGCAAGGGACTGATGCACAATTTGTCTTTTGGGATCAACAAAGTATCTATAAATAAGCTTGATTGATGAAGGGAAAGACACAAATACAAGATTTATTGAATATATTTATTGTCAAAGATTGTTTTTTGGGTCGTCATTGATTTATAAAGAAGTTGAATTGATACTGTAGCAAATAGGTAGAAGTGTGTATTTAACAACCCACAACCCACTGCATACCCTGCTATTCCAATAAGCAGTTTTAGCATCTCACTTGAGGACAGTGTAGTAATTTGAAAGTCTGTAATGGTCTCCTCACCGCAGGCCTCTAAGCACCTGCTCCATGACCAACTGCTGCTCTCATTTGCTTCCTTTTAACGATGCTGGTGGTTCCTCCGGCCACGTTTCGCTGTTGTTTTTGTAAAGAAAGCGGTTGGATGAAGCCAAGTGAATCTGCTGATGTTATTTAGCTTCTTTGTTTGCTCCGCGGGGCTGCTCCTCTCACAGCTGTGCCCAGGCCCTGCTTCACCTTAATTACAGGAACACTTTTATAATGGTATGCACGATGCAGGCGGCAGGTTCTGGTGGGTTTGAGGTGCAGCTACTGTTGACCACATTGTGCTTAAACCGCCTCAGTTCTGGTTCTACATTCTGAGGCCTGGATCTAAAGCCTGTCCATTCATCAGAGCGGATCCCTCTAGGGCCTCCCCAAGGTTTCTACATTTTTTTTCCTCACCATTGTTGCTTTTTTTAGTAGGGAAATAATAATTGACCGGAGTTGTCGAATGGCTAAGGCCAGCCTTTGCCAATTCAGGTGGGTCTAAGGACAGTGATGATCTGGGACATGTACATTTATTAACGTTTATGAACATTTGTCATCCAGCTCCCTATGGACCAATGGCTTCTTTATGTTTGTTAATATTGGTGAGATGACGTGACCTTTCCTAAGCCTATGCCTACTTCCCCCAGAATGCCATATGCTTCTGGCTCGGCTTTTCTTCCCATTTTTTTGATATTTTTTGAGTAAAGTGATATTATCAAACATTCTATTGACCCAATTTTCCATTGATATTGATCACATGTCTATCGCAATATATATTGTTATCGTTTTATCACCCAGCCCTATGTTGTATTTTACATGTTTTACATGTTTATATGTATTGTATTTTACTTGACTTGACAGGTTGACAAATGTTGTGATCACTTTAGGTCAGAGGACTACATAATGTAACAGAGGGAAAAACAAGAAAGTTTAGGTATATCAAACACTTCCTATACAGAGGATCCCTGTAGGATTCCCAGCAAAAATATTTAAATCCCACCTCAACCAATATGTTTACTATAAGACCACGGTTGTCAAAGGGCTGGTGTGATTTTAATTAAAACCAAGCAGGAGCAAACCAGACTCCACCAATTTCCTTGAGTCCAGTCTTAACCCGAAGATCCGAGGAAATGGAGTGGAGTCTGGTTTGCTTCTGCTCAGTTGTAATTCCAACTTTAGCCACATGGTCCCTTTCTGGAATCAGTTTGACAGCCCTGAAGTGGACTCTGCATGTATGATGTCTATGTTTACATGTAGTATTTGGAACTGACTGTCATTCAATACGGTACTTGTCTTTTGTTAGAGTACAGTACCCATTCAGGCTTCACCCAGGTGCTCAGTGCTCACTATGAGGCACAGACAGAAGCCTTAAAGCTGAGCACAGCACATGTCTCTGAGGAACATGTAGAATAATGCATGGATGGTACTTTCTGCACAACACTGCACTTAGAGCAGAGGCAGCTACAGCAACTTATCACTGTCATCAGACTAAACGGCAGCAGATAAATCACACTTTCACTCAATGCCTCGTGTGAGTCTGGGGTGTGTGTGAATGATGATGCTGGTCGGAGGGGCCGCTGGTACAGACTGGTTGTCTTGCTTTTGTCTGTCTGCCCCAGGACAGCTACTATAATGGTAGTTGTCTTTGGGTTTAATGAAAAACTCTATTTAGTATTCATTATGCTCATTAATGACACCACAATATAAGAATCATTTTACATCACACTATTATAATCTAAATGTGATTATTGAAAGTAATCACATTGCATTTCCAGATAAAGCCACAGCATTTGTCTTGTTCCTCCTCTTTTTCAACAAACCGGTTCAACCACTTGTGGATTATATGTACAAGAACAAGGAAACTACTGGCACAAAAATAACGCATAGTAGTGGGTCATATATTTATTAAATGGATTTATATTTAACACTTTGATACATTCAATCTTCATGAACAAATCAATAGGTTGTGTATAGGAAACAATAAACACTATTTTGCCACATAATACCAAGATACAGGTTACAAAATTTAGAGCTAAAATAATTCTAAAAATAACAGAAAATACATGATATGGAATGTAACTTACATCTGTGCAAAGTATGGCATCAATGTTAACACTAAAGTGCATTTTTGTCATCGAATTCATCATTTCTGTCTGATCGAGAGTAAAGTCAATATAATCTGTAGTATGTCTCCCTCTGGTGGACATTATTAAAAGTGCAAAATTTACATATTTTAGTTTTTCAACATAAAGCGTTTTCAGTGCATATTTTTTGACAAGAATTTGTGAAAAAATAAAAATAGACTAAAATGAAACATCGGTATAAAACCAAGCCACAAATAACCATGGTAAAACTATCTGAGACCGAAGTGTTATTCACAGACACATAGTACAGTAACTGATATTTTTTTCTAAATAATAAAAAGTTGCCTTCTACCTTTTTCTCAGAGGCAGCCACCACAAACTTGTAACAGGTACAATGTAACATGAAGGAGAGCAGGTTAAAATAGAAATAAAACTCAAGAGAAAGTCAACATATACAGGCGACTCATCCACACTCTGTGAGCTGTCATGTATTATTCAACTTAACCATTTCGCTAAAGTTGAATAATAAATCTGTAAGCCCCATTGTCCACAGCCCGTAGCACTGAGTCCAAACTAGAAATCACTGAGGATGCTGATGTCTGCAAACTCCTGCCGGTATCTGTAGGCGTAGAGCGACAGCAGAAATCCCCATTTCAGAGTGAGGAAACTCCAGACCGCAGAGAGATACAGGCTCCGCGGGTCACTGAGCGCTGCAGGATACACGGACACTTCACGTCAGTTCAGGAGAACAAAGAAAGACTTAAATACATTTCTTTACCTGATATAACACTTTAACCCTTTAATGTTCACTCCCTGAAGAAAGCAATGAATTGTTTTTCTTGAAGATATACTAATAACACAAATAATGTGTTTTTACATTTTTGTTTTTTAACCCCTTTTTTTAGTTATAGGAGATGCAGTTTGATGGTAGGGCTGGGCGATACGACAAAAAAGTAATATCTCAATTTTATTTCCTGCTTTGGACGATTTCGAATCAGTTTTCATTAAAGTAACCAATGACAGACTTATCCCTTAAAAATATTTTTTGATCTTTCCACTCAATATTCAAGTTTCAAAACTATTTTTCATTTGTTTCCCCAACACGTATTATAAAAGTCTTGTACAGACTGTGCTGATATTGCAAGTATAATTCATGTGCTGCTGGAACTCTCACAATATCTTCATTCGATTTCACAATTTTCACATTTTTCACAAAATTGATTTTTTCAAAAGCCGATTAATTGCCTAAATTTAATGGTAAATATGTCTAAAACATGTGAGATGCCCCAAAGAGGAATAATTCAGTTCCAAGTGATTTACCAAATGGTTGAGGAAACCATTGATTAAAATGTTTATTTGATTTTTTTAATAATAATTCCAAATTGTCTTAGTACAGGTTTTGAAATAAACATCTTGATTGATTGAATACTTATTGGACAAAACCCCACCTGGCAGCAATCAAGCACTGCCTCGCATCAAGCTTCATATCCCGAGGAAGCTGCATCCAAGCAGCAGCTTCATTCACGCCGCAACCCTCCTCCTCCCCATCTCCGACTCGTTCCCGGCTGGCTCTTTCATCCTTCCCCAAAGCTACAACCGCCAGGGTCTAGGCCCCGGGGGGTTTCATCTCATAATCTGCCGGGGTCTAAGCACCAAATCCTACCCACATTCTGTACAGCACAATAAATTTAATCATGAAAATATTGTCCCGGGAGTCATATGTTTAAAGTACAGTATAGTGTCAGATTACTTGTCAACCAATATACAATTCTAATACCCATGTTTTGTCTGTTCGAGTCTCTCCAGATTGAAATACAGTGAGGCTCTTGGCGATTAGTAGTGACCTGAGTGTTGCATTAACTGTGCCTACATTTCACATCACATGTTGGAATAGTGCTTTAGAAATACAGTGTATTGTCTATTAAAGTCTTACATTGCTTCTCCGTGATGGCAAGTGTCAGGAAGGTGATCATAGCAGAAAGGGCCAACACAGAGAAGAGCACCCCGACGCCGATGAAGAACCTGAGGCCTTTGAGCCACGTGCGCCAGAAGTCTTGTACGTACATGATGTGAGTGACCAGCACCCACAGAGCCAGCACGCCTGCAATGGACAACAAGATACACAATTTATTCACATATTAAAGCTGGGGCACCTAACTTCTGTCCTCCCATCAATAATAAAGAAAGAGTCTTGATAACAAGCTGAGAAAGTCTGGTCCTCTCTTCACTTCACATTTCTGCCTTTTTTTGCACGATGGCACAGTGGTTAGCACTTCACAGCAGGAAGGTAAGGTATTTTAATGTGACAATGGTAAATCCAATTCCACCTCGAGGCCTTTCTGTGTGGAGTTGTGCATGTTCTCTTCATGCCTGTGTTTCCAATGAGGGCTCAATTTTCCCTATCACCAAATAATCCCTCATAAAATCCCCGAGTCTCAGGCCAAAAATACATGAGAAAATCCAGGATAGAACCAAACTATTTTGAGAGCTAGTAACTTGTCTCATTGTATTTCATGACACAGTATGTCTAGTAGTTTGAAAGTTAGGTACCCCAGCTTTAAAACTCATGCGTAATCGGCTTTGGTTGTAACCATTAACGCCATCAGAGGATGAAGCAATAAATCGGGTCATGTGCTAAGTGTGACTCACGAACAATAGATCCAACTCTGCATTTATTACTGTACAATATATGGCGTATCATTAGCTAGTTTATATCAAAAAGCACTCACACAATACAAGTTAATAAGTTAAAAATGGGTGTCATTAACATACTGTGCATTAGTATTGCCTGATCGTGCGTAATGTCTTCCATGATTTGGCATAAGACCATTACGCACTATTGTAAGCACATATAACACACGCATGCATACACCTTGGAATATTGCGTTCACTTCACACTTGACATTACACATGAACATTATTCCAGTTTAGTTTTAGCATACCTGACAGGCCTCCCATAGCTGCCGTCCAGTGCTGTTTTATAGCGAGGTTCCAAACCAGAAAAGCCGAGAACCCGAACAGCGTGCCCAACGTAGCGTATCCTATGCGCAAATACACCCTGTTGAACGCCATGGCTATGATAACGAAAGGAGAATAACAGCGAGATGAGAAGTTATGGACCCTGTTTTGGCTCCAGTCAGGCCACAGACATAGCAGCTTACGGCAGCCACATTATGACGTAACGCACGCACAAACAAGGATGTCCCAGAGACGCTGATGTCTCCGCCAGAAGCAGACAGAGGCTTCACCACATCCGCACTGCTGTGAGGGAGACTGCCTCTGTTTGTACCAGAGACAGTCCGAGAATAACGCGATCAAAAAGACAGTTCGACGGCGTCTGGAGCTGTTGTTATGACTGAGTCTGTGCGTGACCCAGAACCAGTCCGAGTGAACCTGCGCGCAGGCCAATGGGGACACACGTTATCTCTTCTGATGTAGCCTTAGCCTGGTGGAGCTAGTAGCAAGTATTTGTTAAAAGTTGTTTTATTTTTGTCGAGTAGAGTTGTTTTCGTTTTATTTAACCACCCCACCTGGTTGAGAAAAGCACGAAACATTTCAATAACAAAGTGGACATTGAAGCAGTCTCCAAGGAAGCCTACCGCCATCTAGTGGATGGATGAGGGTAGGTCAGCTAGTGCAGCAAAATCAGTCTCATGAGAGAAAACTAGATAGAAAGACAGACAGATGGATAGATAGATAGATGGATGCTTCATTGATCATCTGTAGGAGAAATGCAGGTGTCCAGTAGCAGCGGAAACACATCTGTCCCACACGAACAAAATGCACTAGTTTTCCACCTATTTTCTTTTATATAACGCAAATCCGGGTCATGGATTTCGGTCAAAGAACATCAATAGATCCATTGAGTACATACAAAGCATGTTGAGTAAAATCTCACAAATTTACTGGAGAAGTGTACAAAATAAACAAGATTTGAGGGCACATGCATGCAAGGCATTAAACAGACTTTTATTGTTGATAATTAAAAACATGTAAAGCTGCATTTTGCAGCTTTTTGTGAGGGGGAGTGTATCATTTTGTGTATTTTCTTTATGGGGACCCAGTGCCTAAGAGTGGACAGCATGGTGCATTTACTTTTGATCACAGTTGTGTCTCCAGGATCAATCGTTTTAGGTTTTCTGGTCCCTGAGCAGAGAAAAAACTCAAAACAATTGATCCTGTTGCATCCTTGAGACCACTGTGAGGGAAAGTAAAGGCACCAGTGGTGACCTCTTATACAGCAGCTGGGTCATGAGGTCATATGCAAAAAATATCAACTTTTCTTTGCATAATGCATTCAATAAATAAAACAGCAGCAAGACAGACAATAAAAGTTAAAGGAGTACACATCTTGTTCTTGGAAAAGAGGATGTTCATTAAACCTCAGGTCATCATCTGTTTGATTCCAGCGAAATATAAATTGAATCAAGAAATGAACATTCTCCTCCATTATAAACCTTTTCAGGCTGCACATGTCAAACTCCTTTCAGTGGAATTAAAAACACGCTTTTAAAAACATCCTCCAGAAGCTTTACTCTACAGCAGTGCTTTAATACATGTTTGAGACTGTTGTGTATAAATTATACAAGTGCAGCAGTTATGCTATGATCAAAGTATGAATAAATCTGAGCCAGTCACTCGTCAGAGATTTCCTGTGGTTATGAGTAAAGGATGTAGTTATATGAACTGAAACTAAAAAGATTTGTTTCCACTACTTCAAAGAAATGCAAAAAGAAAATGGTTTGACTGTTGAGAGTTAAGTGCTTAATATAGAATAAGTTTGGTCCTATTGTAGTCCTGGTTCAGTCCTGATCTGGTCCAGGTAAAGTTCTATTATAAAACCAGACCATGGGCTTTTAAATCTATTTTCACAAACAGATACGGTCTGTTTGCAGTGTGCTCTGTGGATAAGCGCCCCAGGACAAACTTTACTGATGTACAAAGATACAGGAAGCCCACACTCCGCACTCCCCTCGCGAGCCCAGACACTTCCGAGAAAGGGAATGGGACACATGAAAGGAGCCCAGGCTGAAGAAAGCAACATCATCATCACAAAGAACGGAAACCTTTGGGTCCAACGTCTCCTCTGGTGAGTTCAAGTTCACCTTACGCAATAGACGCAGTCATGTCTCCGAAGTCTGGGATCATTTTACAATTTCATTTGCAATAGCGTGTAAATTTGTGTTAAAAAAAATCCCTTTGACTTTATGGTTTGTATTCCGAAGGCCATCAATCTTAAAATCTCAATCTAATACATTAAAAGAGTATATCATGGGTTTAGGGTTTATTTGCATCGCGCAGTTCATACACAAGGAAACTAAAGGTGCTTAACAAAATTATATTAAAATACCCCAAAGCATTAAAATCATAAAATAATCACAGTGCATTCAAAGAGAAGACACAATCCTTCGTTTGTCTGCACAGAACCTGGATTAAAACATTGTCAGCAAAAAAGCCTGTCTCATATTTTCAGGAAGATTTTAGCTGCATCTAAAAAGCTGCCTCCCTCATTTACAACAAGAGGCGCTAAAGCTCATTTATATTCACTGCACATTATAGAATGTATTGTAATATCTAGAAATATCTTTAGTTTACATTTAGAATGTACCGATTGAGAAAAAGACAAATTGACTTGGTGATTTCATTTTTGTTTAGTTTTTGACTCAATAAGAAATCAAAAATGATTAATAAACAAAATGAACGTGTGCCGCCTGTGTGTGCGAGCGCATGTGTGTGTGCGAGCGTATGTGTGTGTGCACGCGGGTGATTGTGTGTGTTTGTAACCTCAACGTTTTTGGGCGTAAAAATGTTGCAGGAAATCCCACTCCCCTTCCCCAAGGAGCCGAATGGAGACAAGTGTAAACACAGGACATCTTAGAGGATGGGCACATTGTTTACGACTGGGACTCTGGATTTGGATTCTTTTTTTTTTACATCTAGTTGGATTAAAGTTAGAGCCTTGTTTCCTGCTACTGTAAATAGAGTATACTGTATCTTTAAGCTTTCAGTACAATGCAGTGTATAGATTGCAGCATCAGAGGGCAGTATTTCTTTACTCTTTCAAAGCAAAGCAGTCATGTACAGATGCAGCAAAGCAAATGTACAACACTTATTTTTGTACTTTAGATTAGATTTTAGTTTGTTTTATTTCATTTATTTATTTACTTTTTTGGGAGCTGCTGAGTCAAAATGATTTTCTGATTCCATAATAGGCTTGAGACTCATAATCACAAACAAAGCAAGACTTACAGAAGTGAAAAAACTATTTACTCCAATAATTTGTGAGATAATTCCACAGACTATTGATCTTACAGCTGGGATACCAAACACATTTGTTTTGAATATAATACATTTTGTCTGTCCCAAATGTTGTAAAGAAATCAGACAACCCCACACTGTCTTCATCTTATCGGATATCATGTAACCTTTTTGCATACTGCCCTGTGAGACACAATTTGACGTTTTGAGGTCTGATTGGCTGAGTGAGGGTGGTCCTCTCTTTTTCACATTTCTGTTTTAAAAAGCTGATCGAAAGATGTGACAGAAGCAAAGAAATACATGCATGTGAAAACTATAGCGATAGAAGAAAACTGTTTTAGAGCCCGGAACTATGATTTTATTATACTGTTGGTCGTTTGAAGATCCCCAGAAGTACCCCAGCTTTTAAGTTTTTGCATATCTGTGGTACGTTTATAGGATCACTGTTGGGAGATTTAAGGGTTCTACTGTCATAGCATTGTATTGTGTGGTGGGAGTTGGAATCAAACAAACATTTTCTTTATCCAACCCCTTTTCAAACCATGTACCTGTTATGTGCCTGTTATATTGTGCAGGTACAAATAAATAATCAAATTTACGTTTGATTCTGACAGAGAAGAAGCTCAGTTTAGTGCCATGCTGTTGCTTCGTGAATAAGTACTGATATACTGAAGTCTTGAGTGCATTTTTGTGTCGTTTGTAAGTGTTGCATGTGCCCAGGCCTTTTCTAAATGAGTGCATTCAAACTATTTTAGTCAAAAATGTGTAAAGCATCTGCCTCAAGATATCTTATGATTAAAAAACAATCATTATGCAGCTTCTGTTATCAAAAGACTGACTTGAATGACTCTCTGTTTGACTTGAAGATAAGGGGAAAAGTAAGAAAGGAGGGAGGCATCACTTTTGGCCAGAGATTGCAAGTTAGTAATGGCCCAGGTTATGTGACACCCTTCCAAAGGCGACGCTAATTATGATCAGTCAATATAGGCAATATATTTTCTGCACACAACACCATAACAAAGTGACCGAGTAATGCATTAGGCCTTTACAGGAAGCTGGAACAAAGGCTTGGATTTAAACAAGTGGCCCCTTATGCAACACGTCCACATCTCTGCTAATAGCCGCAGGCCACTCAGAACACTGCTGGTCAAAGACTACAAACATTTGCTTTGTATAAAAACACATTCCACATTCTCACTATACGCACTCGGTGTGTATTTCTATTACAGACACCGCTTAACGTCTTTAGCATCGATATGGAGAACGTAATCAAGTCCTTATGGTTCCCACCACGACGCAGCACTTCTGAGGTAAGTATGTTTCTCACAAATGTATAGTTATGTGTGTTTGTGTGTGCTGTAAATCCATTTCCACTCAGAGGATGAAGGGAAATATGTGTGTGTGTTTGGGTTATATGTGTGTGGAGCCGAAGCATCAACAGTGGCCACAGCGGAACTCCTCATCCTCTCAAGATGACTGAACTGTACTTTTATTAAAATGTGTGCAGATTATTATAGGAGCAATAGAAAAAGCTGTAGGAACGTTAAAACAAAACAAAAAAGATCAAAAAGAAAGAGTGACCAAGGTGCCTTTAAGGTGCACTTGGTCACTTGGAATGCATGTCACCAGGAGAGACTATTTTGAGGAACTTTGTAAAAATAAAATAACAACCAATACCATGCATGGTTCACTTGTAAAAGTGACATTGGAAAAATATTTGAAAAGCTTGTAATTTACCCTTTACCCAGTAAGAATTTTGAGAATTGAGTTATTGAGATATATTTTATTGCCCTAGAAATAAAGTTTCACCTCTTCCTGAGCATTTTTTTTCTTTTCAAATTTACTGCCATTGCAAAACATTGAACGTGTAGCTGCTAGAATAATACAACTTTTAGTTACATTTTCAAAATATGTCTGTTTTTTGCAAACTTTAAATAATGTTTCACAAAAGTACATTTGGTTGTAGACCTATAAGCAAAGCAGATAACTATAACTTAGCTTGCATTAGGTACACAAATCCAAGACCTATCCATGGACACAAGTCCCTTAAAGATTATTTCTCCTTTCCTGCTCCCATAAATTATTCATTCATTACTCATTCACGTGAGAAGTGAATGGTATTAGTGCTTCTTAATGTTGCTTTCCCATGCTATAACATCAGAAAGGTATAACATCAGAAAGTCTCGACTTGGCTCCAGCCCTTGACACTATTTATCAGCCTGTCCATGCGCCTCCAGGCCGGGCTGAGGCAGACAGCTGCTCGACCTGATAAGTCTAACTTTTTTACAGTTTATAGCCCGGGTAACCTTCACTACTGCCTGCACTGAGCCATGAAGGATTTGAGTGCTTGGAACATTTTGCCCCCTTTTTCTGTTTACCTTCACCCATACGATCCTGGTGCGCAATTAGAGGAACAGCTGACCACAAATCTGAAAGCTTATTTGGCGGGCTTAAGTGCACTTTATGGTAATCTCCACAATCGACTCGGAGGATTTTGTTCATTAAAAAACATTTCTGTCGTATTAACGCCGCGTACGCATTCCGTGACATGAAAGCCAGGCATTAACTCTATCCCAATCTGAGTAAACAAGCACCATTTGGATGCCATAATACAGACATTACGCGCACCTGTTACGCACGCACAGGCAACCCCATATCATTCAACACACACACACACACACACACACACACACACACCCACAAACACCCAGCGTCACTAATAAGACTAGTAACGTTATGCCAAAGGAGGCCGTCTCTGTGTCTTTGATGACTGTGCGTATTTCCCGTGCCAAAGAGCGCGCGTAACAGCACTACAGACCGGCGTGTGCGTGTCTCCGCTCTATACTCCCGCGGCGAGGATGCCAGCCTGCCTGCTTTAACCGCCTCGTCACGCTTTTCTCTTGGGTTTGCGTTGATGAAGACTCGGTGACAGAGGATATGCAGATTCCCTGAGCGGTCGCCTGTGCCAATAGTGCGTAAAAATGTGAGCCAAGGCTGAAGCGATGTCTGCAGGCGGTGGTCTGTACGCATTTTCTGCTGGTTTTTCGGATTGGGAAAGTTGATTTTTTTTTTTTTTTTTTGGATTGATCTTGGACTGAAACGAGATGCATTTGTTTCGGAGTTATCATTACCAAGTCTTCCCGGATCGCCGCGCGGAGGCGAAGGCGTGCATAAGAGGCATCAGCTGGGTATACAATAGCTTTGATCATTGCTGTATACTGTATATATAGACGTAAAATAGCATCAACAGGATTGTCAAACATGCTATTCAGGAATTTCCTGTTTTCGTTTTCCCTTCATAACTTTCATATTACAGTCATTGCTATAACAATCTTTCCTTATCCCTGTATAGTCACGTGGATGGTCATATGAACGCTAATGTGTTCTAATATTTGCACAATTCCAGTTAAATTTATGTTTCAGTGACCTATATCTTATCTCTGGACATCACTTAAATACAGTACAATTATTAATATCAAATCAGATTGTTAAATGAACACCAATACACTACAGTAGACTTCAAAATGTCATTTTTACTGTTAAGTTTGGATCATTGACAAGTTATTCCATCGCACCTTATGTAATGTTGGATGTGCTCAGGAAAAAGGCATGAAGAAAGACTAAATATTGACGGATTGTAGGAAATTCCTCCCATGTATTGTCACGCTGGGGTTGGTTTAAATTCCCTGTCCTCTTGCACATTTCTCTATTGTTTTAGCTGCAGGGAGTGGAGAGGCAGGAAAGCAACAACAAGCAACTTTTTCCCTTTTTATTAAATTCCAGATATAAATAGAGCATTGTTTATTGTTCATCTTTAACCACAGCAGTCCTCCCACATTTAGAGAACGTAGACTGGATACTTAGAATTTGTTTGCAGGCCACAGAAAGGCAGGATGAGACAGAAGTGGTTTCATAATTTCTAAATATACTCGAGTTGGGAGATGACAGTAAATCTCCGCTGACGGGTTTCCTGCATGGAACTTATGAGGCTCTGGACAAACTTTGGTATCATTTGTGTATTGAAAGGGCTCAGTGGGTAGAATCTGAAGTTCAATTGTAGGTTAACGTGTCTTTGATGAAGATTGAAGGGGATGTTGTAGGTTCAGATTGGCTGTCACATCTCTGTCATTCAGCCCCATGGTAAGTAGCATCAATATGACTGCAATGAAGAAAGAATTGTGATTTCTGTTATACACATAGGTGAGACTTATTTCAATAAGGAGAAATTCATAGTGGATGAGGCGTTTTTGAGATTGGCTTTGGCCTGGCAAATTCATGAATATAAGTTTCTCGAAGTCTATACGTCTTTGATTCTGTTCACGTTTTTTATGGGGAAAAGCCTTTGATAATCTTGAGTCTTGAGGCAAGGCAAGGAGAGTTTATTTGTATAGCACAATTCATACACAAGGCAACTCAAAGTGCTGAACAAGATAGCATTAAAATCATAAATAATCACAGAACATTAAAAAGAAAGATAAAAACATAAAATCCCTCAGTTGTATGCACAGCTAAACAGAACTGTCTTTAACCTGGTTTTAAACATTGTCAGAGAGGAGGCCTGTCTCACATCTTCAGGAAGACTGTTCCAGATTTTAGCAGCATGAATCTGAAAAGCAGCCTCCCCATGTTTAGTTCTGACTCCGGGCACTAACAGGAGTCCAGTCCCTGTGCTCCTCAGAGTCCGGGCTGGTTCGTATGGTACTAACATGTCACTAATATATTTTGGTGCGAGGCCATGGAGAGACTTGTACACAAGCAGAGCTGTTTTAAAGTCTATTCTCTGAGCCACAGGAAGCTAGTGCAGAGACCTGAGGACCGGACTAATGTGGTCGTACTTCCTGGTTCTAGTCAGGACTCGAGCTGCAGCATTTTGAATGTACTGCAGCTGTTTTACAGCCTGTTTGGACAGACCTGTGAGCAGGCCATTGCAGTAATCTAACCTACTGGAGACAAATGCATGGATAAGAATCTCCAGGTCTGCTTTAGACACTATGATTTTGATCCTGGCAATGTTTTTAGATGGTAAAAAGCTGCTGATGTTACTGATTTGATGTGGCTATTAAAATTTAAGTCTGAGTCCAGTATTACCCCCCTAGATTTCTGACCTTGTTTGAAGGTTTTAGGGAGAGAGACTGTAGATGACAGATGACGCTCTCTCTTTGTTTCTGGGGACCAAAGACAATCATTTCAGTTTTGTCTGCGTTTAGCTGAAGGAAGTTGTTTTGCATCCACTCACTGATCTGTTGGATACAGTGAAGGAGTGAGTCCATGTTCTCCTGCAGTCAGTGAGACATAGATCTGAGTGTCGTCTGCATAGTTGTGATAGGACACTTTGTTTCTGCGTATTAACTGACCTAACGGCAGCATGTAGAGATTGAACAGAAGAGGTCCCAGGATCGACCCCTGTGGTACTCCACAGGTCAGGGCCATATGATCTGAGACACAGTTTCCAATCTCCACAAAGTACTTCCTGTCTTCAAGGTAAGACCTAAACCAACTTAGGGCGGAGCCAGCGACGCCAACCCAGTCCTCTAGTCTCTGTAAGAGGATCTCATGGTCGACAGTGTCAAAGGCAGCACTCAGATCTAACAGGATTAGGATTGAGACTTTGCCTGCGTCAGTGTTCAGCCGGATATCGTTTGTAACCTTGACGAGAGCAGTCTCAGTGCTGTGGTGGGGTCTAAAGCCGGACTGAAACATATCAAATGAGTTGTTGATTATAAGAAATCTATTTAGCTGTTGGTTGACAACTTTTTCAAGGACTTTCCCAATAAATGGCAGATTTGAGATGAGACGATAGTTGTTGAGTACCGTAGCATCCAGACTGCTCTTTTTAAGCAGGGGCCTGATGACTGCAGTTTTCAGGGCCTTTGGGAATATTCCAGAATTAAGGGACATGTTTACTATCTGTGTGAGTGAAGGCAACAGACTGCTCAGAACAGACTTTAGAAATCTAGTGGGTAGTACATCCAGGCTACATGTGGAGGAGCTCAAACTGGAGATTATCTCTTGGACAGTTTGATCACTTACAGGTGCAAAGTAAGTTAGCTCAGAGAGCCTTTCTGGCTGTTGGATGGTTATCTGTGGATTGGAGACAATGGCGTTTTTGATGCCTTGAACCTTGTCATTGAAAAAATGTGCAAACTCATTACATTTACATTTGGAAGTTAGCTCTAATTGCAGCTGAACAGGGGGGTTTGTTAATCTATTAACTGTTGAAAACAGAACACGCAGATTGTTGCTGCAGCCTTCAATCATTTCAGAAAAATACCTTTCTCTCATACTACGTAGCACCCGGTTAAACTCGCACAACTTATCTTTGAAGATCTCGTAATCAACCTGGAGGTTGGACTTGCGCCACTTCCGCTCGGCCCTCCGGCACTCTCTCTTTTGTGCCCTGACTGAGTCTGCTTTAGCCCACGGCGCCTTCTGCTTATTTTTCACTATTTTAACCTTCACAGGAGCGATGGTATCCAGAACATTCAAAACACTAGAGGTGACAGAGTTAAACAGTTAATCTACAGTAGAATACGATGCATTCTCAAAATGTATCATTCCCATAAATAGTTCACCCGTATTTTCATTTATGTATCTTCTTCGTACAGTTGCAGAGTCCACTGGTGGTTTGTTAGTGAAACACATGTCAAAAAATACACAGAAATGATCCGAAAGAGCAACATCGACCACGTTTACATTAGAAATGTTCACCCCCTTTGTAACTAACAGGCCTAGAGTGTGCCCTCTGCTGTGGGTGGGGCCACTCACATGCTGAGTGAGACTAAAAGATTCAAGAACAGAACTCAGCTCTTTTGAGTCAATTTTAACCCAATTTCTAACACAATTGAATAGAAAGTTAAAGCTGGGCTATCGCAAATTTAGAGTGGTCTTTTACTTTTTCAGATCCCAAACACACAATATTGATGATGGCCACTCTTGTGCTCGATCGTGAAATGAGTCCAGCTGTTTATACAAATGAATGGGGAGCGGTGCAAACGAATGGGTTGAAACTAGAATGCTGTGGTGATTAGCTGATAACGCGGCATACCTCCTGTGTCTATTACATACCAGTCTCTCTGACAGAAAGCAGAGCCAAATGCCATACGTGCGTTTAGAGCTAAAGGTGCCTGTCCGTCAGCCTGCGTGTGAGAAGACATGTCAGGAATACTGGCTCTCCGGCATCGCTCACTAATCAGCTGTAATCATCTGTGAAAATGATTTGCAACGAAAACAAATCATCACACGTGGATTGAGATAAAACAAACTGACATGGAAGCTATTGTGCGCATGTATGCATGCGTTTAGGTGTGTGTGTGTGTGTGTGTGTGTGTGTGTGTGTGCGTGTGTGCGTGTGTATGTATGTTATTGTTACAAGTGATCTCCAAAGATGGGTTGGGCATACAGGTGAAACCCGGAAAATTAGAATACTGCACTATTAAATGAAACTAATATAAGATAAACTCATTACAGGCAAAGTGATGTATATCAAGCCATTATTTGTTGGTAATAGATTTTTTAAAAACCTAAATCAAGCATCTCATAACATTTGAATATTGTGTAAATGGAATGTAAGCCACAATCATAAAAATCATTGAATTTTTCCCGATTATCCTGATTTGAAAGTTGTGTGAGGACCTTACTGGATTGCAATACAACCACAGCTGTCCAGGGGCAGAATGACAAAAGCGAGTTAACCGTGCCATCAGCCCCTCTGACCACCACCATCATTCGCTCACGGACACACACCCAGAGCAGCAGCAGCAGCAGCAGCAGCAGCAGCAGTAGGGGATGTTGTCACCCTAGAAATAGCAGCAGTGGTACAGATGGCTTATTGCCTTGGAATTTGTTGACTGCACCAGCCCTCAAAGTCGAAGGTGCTATAGATTTTAACAAAACAAAACATAATGTACAGCTCCTGCATTTTTGTAGTTTGAATGATTACGAGCTCCACACATTGGTAACATAACATGACAGTAAATCAGACAAAACACGACACAAAGGCGACAGGTGTGTGAGGAGATCTTATCAGCCTCATCTCAGAGACACAGCATTCTCAGCATATGATGCCATCTGCAGCAGGAAGGGTTTTCTGAAGTATCATATCTGATAAAGGCCGTTTACAAAACTACAATCGAAACTAGGGGCTCAGTTCAGCAAGTTTCTCTCCTGAAGAAAAGTAATAATTTTGTTCAGAGACTGTTTATTGTGTTGTATTGAGCCTGTTTGTCAAATAGAACATTGAGTTTCTGTGTCAGAATCGTCACAGCACTATCCATCCATCCATCCATTTTCTACCCTTTAATCCATTTCTGGGTCAGGGGAGTGGCAATCAGAGATGCCACCCAAGTCTCATAGCACCAGCCCCTAGTCACAGCACTAATAGTTCATCAATCCATGGATTTCAGAATAGGGGCGAGCATTGGCCTTTGAGCCTGAAGGTCGTGGGTTTGAGCCCACCACTTGTGTCCGTGGGCAAGACACTTAACCCCACTTTGCCTGAATCCCTCGCTGAAACTAGATCTCAGCTCCTGTGGACTCACCACCTGCAGGAGGTTCAGTGAGGGGCTGGTGCTCTGTGTTCTGGGTGCAGCTCTGACTGCCACCCTCCAACCCAGAAATGGATTTGGGGAAGACAATTGATGGATGGATGGGTTTCAGAATAATGTAAAGTAAGAACTGTTTCCCTAGATCCTGTGTATTCAAAGAGCGGAAATCACTACAGTGGACCACTCTGGATGAATGGGAGAATACACTTACATGATGTGTTTTTTTCATTTTTTCATAGGCAGTTTAATGATCAGCTTTAATAATGATAATAATACAATATTTACTTACAGTATACAGGCCATGACAACAAGAGACGCATCATATCGCATTATTCATTCACTCCATACACTGTAGTGAAAAACTCCAAAAAAAAGTGTTCAATAACAACTTACTATAACATGAGATACTGTACTTCAACCCAAACAGAATACCAATCTATGTCATACAATACAGATCGGTGTAATAATATCTTTAAAATGTGTGTAAATTGCTAGTGTTAAAGTGCTTCTTCTTGTGCTTTTGCCTTCCCACTCACTCCCACCCCCACTGGACACTGGCATCTTACGGAGCTGAGATAATGCCTTTGTTTGACCTTAAGAACAAAATAATTACACTTACAGTATCAGAGTAGTGCAGCTTATTATGATGTGAGCGAACACGGTGGAGATACCGTTAAGTTTGCTGCTCCCACACTTTTATCACTGTTGTTTCAGGTTAATGCCGTTTTGTGATAAACTGTTTTGTTTTTTTCCAGACGCCGCTGCCCGAAGCTCTGGATTCAAAGGACACCATGAAACAGGTGCACATCTACACACTTTACACAATCGACACACACAGCTGGAAGGCAAACACACAAGTTTATAATGTTTGTAAGTTTCAGTATTTTTGAAAAACCGTTGTTCGGATAAACTGATTTATTTTGGCTGTTACAATGGTGTGTTCTGACCCCCCTCACACAATCGTACACTGTCGCGCACGGAGACATCAGGACATAAAGGAGGACATGTTTTTACAGAAAACTAGTCATTCCATTCAGGACATATTGAAGCTGAGGTACCCAAATTTCACAAATAATTCTACGCAACTAGTTCCTGTTTGATTTGTGTTTGTGCTTATTGTTTTGTCGATCACTCGTTTTCACCTACATGTTTTTTTGGCGTCTGTCAAATCTTTGGATCAGCCTCACTTGACCAATCAGCATTCACCCCAAAGTGTCCAATACTGACAAAATGCCAAACGTTGTGAAAGCTGCATGTTGTGGTTTGATTTAATTTACTTTCCGTCCAAATCAGAATCACAATCACAATCATGTTTATTGCCATGTAAGTAACAGGAAGTCACAGACTAGGAAATTGCTTTTGCTCGGGTTCGGCTTTGCTTTTGGGTTCTTTATGAAACAAAGTATGGTAACCCAGCTTTAAATTGATACCTTTTAACAGATGACAAACTTTTAACAGATCTTTCCCAGTTTTGGATGAAAAGTTTGTTCACTCGTTGTGCTTTTGTCTGAAATGTTTTTATTGCATAAATGTATATATGTTTTACACTTAAAATGAAAATGTAGTTAAGCCATAAGTAAACAATTGAAACTATTGTAATGCCTGAGTATTGGGGTCACAGTAGTTGAAGTTATAATACTATATGTTTCTCCCAACTGAAAGACTGTTGTGTATAGTCTAACCACAACATGCTGTCTTAAATTGTATTAGAAAACTAACTGTTACTAGCCTAACTGTCACTAGCCTAACTGTCACTAGCCTAACTGTCACTAGCCTAACTGTCACTAGCCTAACTGTTACTAGCCTAACTGTTACTAGCCTAACTGTTACTAGCTTAACTGTTACTAGCCTAACTGTCACTAGCCTAACTGTCACTAGCCTAACTGTTACTAGCCTAACTGTCACTAGCCTAACTGTCACTAGCCTAACTGTCACTAGCCTAACTGTCACTAGCCTAACTGTTACTAGCCTAACTGTTACTAGCCTAACTGTTACTAGCCTAACTGTTACTAGCCTAACTGTCACTAGCCTAACTGTCACTAGCCTAACTGTCACTAGCCTAACTGTCACTAGCCTAACTGTTACTAGCCTAACTGTCACTAGCCTAACTGTCACTAGCCTAACTGTCACTAGCCTAACTGTCACTAGCCTAACTGTCACTAGCCTAACTGTCACTAGCCTAACTGTCACTAGCCTAACTGTCACTAGCCTAACTGTCACTAGCCTAACTGTACCTAACTGCCTAACTGTCACTAGCCTAACTGTTACTAGCCTAACTGTCACTAGCCTAACTGTCACTAGCCTAACTGTCACTAGCCTAACTGTTACTAGCCTAACTGCTACTAGCCTAACTGTCACTAGCCTAACTGTCACTAGCCTAACTGTCACTAGCCTAACTGTTACTAGCCTAACTGTCACTAGCCTAACTGTCACTAGCCTAACTGTCACTAGCCTAACTGTTACTAGCCTAACTGTCACTAGCCTAACTGTCACTAGCCTAACTTTTACTAGCCTAACTGTTACTAGCCTAACTGTTACTAGCTTAACTGTTACTAGCCTAACTGTTACTAGCCTAACTGTCACTAGCATAACTGTTACTAGCCTAACTGTCACTAGCCTAACTGTCACTAGCCTAACTGTCACTAGCCTAACTTTTACTAGCCTAACTGTTACTAGCCTAACTGTTACTAGCTTAACTGTTACTAGCCTAACTGTTACTAGCCTAACTGTCACTAGCATAACTGTTACTAGCCTAACTGTCACTAGCCTAACTGTCACTAGCCTAACTGTCACTAGCCTAACTGTCACTAGCCTAACTGTCACTAGTCTAACTGTTACTAGCCTAACTGTCACTAGCCTAACTGTCACTAGCCTAACTGTTACTAGCCTAACTGTTACTAGCCTAACTGTACTAGCCTAACTGTTACTAGCCTAACTGTTACTAGCCTAACTGTGTACTACTAGCCTAACTGTACTAGCCTAACTGTTACTAGCCTAACTGTTACTAGCCTAACTGTTACTAGCCTAACTGTACTAGCCTAACTGTCACTAGCCTAACTGTACTCACTAGCCTAACTGTCACTAGCCTAACTGTCACTAGCCTAACTGTCACTAGCTAACTGTACTAGCCTAACTGTCACTAGCCTAACTGTCACTAGCCTAACTGTCACTAGCCTAACTGTTACTAGCCTAACTGTTACTAGCCTAACTGTTACTAGCCTAACTGTTACTAGCTTAACTGTTACTAGCTTAACTGTTACTAGCCTAACTGTCACTAGCCTAACTGTCACTAGCCTAACTGTCACTAGCCTAACTGTCACTAGCCTAACTGTTACTAGCCTAACTGTCACCAGCCTAACTGTCACTAGCCTAACTGTTACTAGCCTAACTGTTACTAGCCTAACTGTCACTAGTCTAACTGTTACTAGCCTAACTGTCACTAGCCTAACTGTCACTAGCCTAACTGTCACTAGCCTAACTGTCACTAGCCTAACTGTTACTAGCCTAACTGTCACTAGCCTAACTGTCACTAGCCTAACTGTCACTAGCCTAACTGTCACTAGCCTAACTGTCACTAGCCTAACTGTCACTAGTCTAACTGTCACTAGCATAACTGTCACTAGTCTAACTGTTACTAGCCTAACTGTCACTAGCCTAACTGTTACTAGCCTAACTGTCACTAGCCTAACTGTTACTAGCCTAACTGTTACTAGCTTAACTGTTACTAGCCTAACTGTTACTAGCCTAACTGTTTCTCTGTAATTATAATATTAATACATCGGTTTTACACAACGCTTTTTTGGACTCTCAAAGTCTCTTCATATCATTATTCATTCTCTCCAAACACGGTGGTGATAAACTACTACTGTAGCCACTGTAGCCACAATGTGTTTACCAGAACAATGGTAAATATTTGTTATTACAGTAATTTGGGTTTAAAAGTTAGGTACCCAAGCTCCAAAACAAAATGAACAAAAAAGGTCACTGCCTACTCTGCCTTTGTCTGTTTTGTTCAATATATTTTGCAGGTGTATAATGGCACGCCCCGCTTGTAAATCCTTACTTTATCCACTCAAACACTTTTAAAACCACTACTAACGAGTCCGACAAGGATTGTGCTTGTTATAAAAACCTGGTAAATGGCCGCTCTGAACGACCTCTGCTTGGACTGTGCAGCGCTTGCATCCTCTCAAACTGCTGATCGCGGCTTTTTGTTGTTTTAATATCCTGCATTAGCACTGAAGCGAGCCTTAAAAACACATTCCTGTCCAGGCATTTCAGTCACAAGGAGTCTAAAGGCCACTTCAGGTCCCGGGCGTTTGACCCCCACCCTCCTTCATGACTCCCAGAGCACTCAGACCATTGTGTGACCATTCCTTAAGTTAGATTCTTTACAGCACAGAGGGGATAGGCTCCAACATGGAAAACAAATCCACTGCTTAGAGAAGGAAGGAGATGGCGAGATAGGGACACGCTTTCTTTGTTATTTTACACCTAGAAAAAAAAAAGTAAATTGATTTGGATTTGAATGTTTCTTTATGATGTATTTACGACTCTCACAAAAGTAGCAGTCATGTGTTATGATTATAAGCATAACGTACATACTAAGCATAACGTCCGTGGAGAATGTTTCAAATTGTAGTCGTAAAGGGCCCACCATCTTGTTGTTGCTATGGATACAATATATTTCTTTGCTTTCATGTCCCTCAGTGATCTAATAAATGATCAGATGTTACTGCCCAAAAACATGAATTTGTGCGACATGGGAGAGAAAGAAAGGTGTAGGGTCAGAGAGGTGTTGTGTTGTCTGAGTGTGTGTGTGTGTGTGTGTGTGCTTTGTGTTGGGTGTGTTATATATGCGTGAATGGTTAGAGACAAAATAAGCGTCTATTTCAATGTCTTTTGCATTTTTTTGTTTAATGGTAAATATACATTTTCAGTTGAAATAGAATAATGATAGATATGTTTTTCATTTATTTATCTGATGAGGGAAAGTAGACATTATGAAATATCTGAAAATCCAGTTTATGGCAAGGATGCTAGTTTCCATCTGACATAGAAACAACACTTTTTCAGACATAGACATACAATATTGAACATGACAGAATAATGATTACTGCGGACAGGAACAAGTTATCTATGATTTGTTTTTTATACTTGATTGTGTCTTTGCACTGTACATCTCGACATGATTAAAGCAAATTTCAACACTGCAAAAAATGATCAAATATGAGATCATAATTGCTAGAATCGAGTTTTTTTAACTTGACTTAAGTTCATTCTGACTGTCTTAAAATGAGATTTGCCAATGAGACAAGCAATTTTGACTTGATTCAAGAACTATTGCTTTATTTTCTCATTCCAACAGAAAAATATCTTGTATCTTTTTAAAAAAAGACAATGTTTCTTGTTCCACTGGCAAATCTTGTTTTAAGGCAGTCAAAATGTGCTCATATTTAGATACATTTAGCCAAATTTGAGCATTTTTTTTAATTCTGTCATCTTTTGCAGTGAAGTAGAATATTAGACACACTTTTTTTGTCTTTTCACCCATTGTGCCAAACAAGAAAAGTAAATAGAATACAATAATAATAATAACAACAACACTGATATACATACATAAAAAGGAACTAGGTTAGCTTTAATTCAGCTTTAAATTCAAGAATAAATTATCTGTGATTTGTGAGAAATATTGCCCCCAGTCTTAATGGACTTCATGTTGGTCATCAGCATTAATTGAAACCCAGTCGATATCAGAATTGGACATGGCAAAGCTGGATCCGGCAAGAAATTGCGATCC